TCTCTCTCTCTCTGTGTGTGTGTGTGTGTGTGTGTGTGTGTGTGTGTGTTTGTGTGTGTGTGTGTGTGTGTGTGTGTGTGTGAAAACGTGGCATCCCAGGCCGACGTGGCAAAGCTGAAGCCAGCTAAACACAGCCTCCCAGCCAGGCATGGCAAAGCTGAAGCCCACCAGGCCCTTTCAAGTACCGGCATTGGAGATTTTGCGGCATTCCAACAAAAGTGTGGCAGGCCGGCCAACAGTCAACCAGCGCCAACTGCTGGATCAGTTGGCTGCCCGGCCCCTGACCAATTTAGGGCCATGCCCATCGACAATGCATCATTTTCGGAAGAAGACGGTAGTCCATCACAAGATGCAGAACTCGCAAAATGGGAAAAAGCAAGTCCGGGAGGGTTTTACAACCAGTACACGATACATGATACCCTGTACATATATGTAGATTTTAACTAAAGAAAAAGCAAGTCTGGGAGGGTTTTACAACCAGTAAACGATACATGATACCCTGTACATATATGTAGATTTTAACTGAAGAATTTTTTTAGGATCCACATATGCAATGCATCGACTATGTGACAAACTCTCACTTGTCATGGACTTGATATTTTCATAAGACTCGAGATAGTTTTTGTTTTTGACTGCACCAGGAACCTGATGACAAGAAACGCCCAGGCAGGTGTACAAGGGCAAGAACAGAAAAAACAGACATGCGTGCAAACACATAAGCTCACCTCCCTCCAGATGATTATGATGATGCCCTTGTAATAGACTCGGATATATACTCTCTCGTAAAGGTGAGTCCATCCTAATGCCCCCCTGACGCGCCCTCAGGGGAAATCGGGAGAGGACCCAGGAGGGATGACGAAAGGCCATGGCACTGGGCTTTGGTCGTATATATACAGTGGGTGCGTTGTGTTCAGCAGAAGATGGGTGTAGAGATCATATCATACAAGGGGTGAGCAAGTAAGCGAGCGAGCTCACGAGAGAGAGGGAGAGAGAGAGAGAGAGGCGCCAGCTCCATGGCCAGTAATGACGGTGCACTGTGTTCGGTTGAAGAAGGGTAGACAGTCATATAGTGTGTGCACACAAGAGGAAGAGAGATGACGCAAGAGACTCTCAACGTGAATGCATACAAGCTATATTTCCAGTCAGATGCAGTGGGGACGGGGGTGAGTTGTGTTCAGCAAAAGTGGGTGTACAGCGTCATATCCTGCATGTGTGCGTACATGCAAGAGAGAGAGAGAGGGAGAGAGAGAGAGAGGGAGGGAGGGAGAAAGAGAGAGAGAGGGAGAACATCTGGTGGAGCTCAGAAATGTCTCCCAATCATCAGAATGAACGATGAACGCTTCCATACCGGGTCTTGTAGTAGAGGGTCGAGTCTTTTCCCAAATCAGTGCCTAAGGAAAAAGAAAGGACTGGAGGTTGGTAACTGTCAAGCATCAAGAGTTGAGGCGTAATAACAAACGACATGAAGCAAAGACCAAGGAGAAGGATAAAAGCGATGCATCCTCAAAGTACTCGTGTGACCTTGAATAAGACAACACTGGCATGACCAATCAGTTAGGCCTGCACATTCGTAAGAAAAGGGCGTAGGAAAAGGTAATGGATATAGACAGATGAGGAGAGAGAGAGAGAGACCGCAACTGTAGCCTGGCACCAACTGGTGAACAATCCAAGGGGGATGAACCTAGTCTGGCTGATACTCTATACTTATTCCACATGCAGGCGTTCAAAAGGGTACATGATCGTGTCCTTGTTGTCATGTCCAGTGACCACGAGGCGATGCAGAATAGTCTCTTCTCTGCAATGCAGGAAAAGTCACTGGCAAACAATCACACTCGACAGAGCGTGATATGTTTTTCTTTCTCTAGGAAGACAGTATCAGGTGACCTTCGTGTTCTCTTGAAGTTCACCCTTCTTGATCTTCCACAAAAACCCTCGGCCCCACTCTGTCAAAGTCAAGACCAAAATCTCTCACCTTTACTAGTCCACTTCACCAAAACCACAAAACATCATGCTATGACTACTATCTTCATAAACTGCCGTCTTCCCCCGAACATAACGCACCCTGATAATGAATGCATACAACCTATATTTCCGGTCAGGTACAGACAAAATGAGGGCGGGTTGAGTTTCGGGGAAGACGGTAGTGACAAAGGCTGGCCATAAAACTTGCGAAGTTACTGATTTTTACCCCTTACAAGTAACTCACACCGGACAGAGACAGTGGGTAGATCATGCCATAACCCCAAACAGCGCAACCCTCCAGCGTACCCCTGCTGTTCGATTTCAGATACTGAGAAGACTGTTGTTGGGAGCACTAAAATGCTGCCATGCTGGATGGAAGGCTCTGCCTTGGCAGGGGCTGTGATTCACACTCAGCCACACGCCGAGTCACTGTGGTCACTGATAATGCGGGACAGCTTGAAGCAATACTCACGCTGGGACTCTTTTGGCTAAATCTGGCCATGACTGTGGTCAGATGCATTCTGTAAAGTACTGGCGTGAGTGTGCATCAATCTCACTATCAAGTGGGTCACATTTGGGTCTTGTCCCGATCTCACTGTGGGGCATACAACATAACATCAGCAGCGCTTCTAAACAAGGCTACACTCTCCCTTTGATCTTTAACGCTCACCTTTAGGAAACAGCAAATTTCAATGAAGAATCCTAGTGTTTGTTTTTCCGTTGATACTGGAGCCAGGTCAGCACGAATCTGGCCAACTTTCCAACCACAGTCATGCTTCCTAAGCACGAACATAGCACCAGTGTGGCCTGGCCCTTAGGTTAGGCAAAAGCCTGAAAAGTTGCTAGGGCTTCGGCACAGGACCTTTTCCAAACGGAAGGATGCAGGCCAACAGACGTACAATTGTTGCCGCTATATGGCCCACAGAAGGGCCCCTCCTGAGATCCAGACCAGATAGATACCACAACAGAACTGACCGCCCACCCATTCATGGCGTTTCTTGGATCCGCATTCAGGTTTCACAGAGTGCACTCATTCACGACGTTTTTTAGATCAGCTTCGGGCTATTGCAAAATGAGATGCATGCATGCAGGGGACATATCCAACACCCCATGCCGCAAGGACAAGGATTGTCAAAGACCAGGCCACAAGGACAAGGATTGTCCTCTACCTTGCTCTCGATGGACACCAAAGGCAGGAAAACACCTGGCAATGGCTGGCTGGGGACGGCCTGCAGACTCTGGAATTGCTCTTTTCTTTGGGAAGAGAGTGTTGGGTGTCCAACAGACTCTCAAGAGGGGGTAACCCTTCTTGCTCCAACTTAACACGTACTGGTACCCTACGAAACAGTTCAAGAGCAAATCCCATACAAAGACACTTCACAAAATTCATTCAAGAAGGGCAGTTCTGGTACCCTACCTCGCAACAAGGCAACACTGCCACACTCCACTGTTCACTTCCACCACTGATCACGTCCTCTATTCCACTCTCACGTCTTCTCCACGCAAGAAGGGTTGTTCCTCTATTCACTCCCATGAGTCCATCCACTCTCACGTCTTCTCCTCCATGCACACACAATCACAATCGTCCTTGACACACAAACGCATGAAGACAGGGCCATCTCCTCACCAGAACAGCTCGCCTTCACTCTTTCAAGCTCTGTTTCCCTCCTTGCAGATAGAATAAGCTTTGCCCCAAGTAGACAGAACCTGTGTGCCAGCTCCTCTCCTGCATGACAATTCCCCAGCCGCGAAGTGAAACAGGACACCCGGCATGAGTCCATATCTGCTCTCACTCACAACAATAGACAGCTTGCACCATGCAGCTGATTGAGTCGTTTCACAGCTGTCTCATCATCATCATCATCATCATCATCATCATCATCATCATCACCTCCATAATTGTAATTAATCATCATCATCATCATCATCACCAGCATCTCCATCATCTTCTCCATCATCACCTCCATCATCATCATCACCATCATCATCTCCATCATCATCATATCACCATCATCATCGTCACCACAATCATCGCCACTATCATCATTTGCAACATTTGCTGAAGGAAAAACAAATACGTGAATCCTCAAATCCTAGAGTATGACATACTGCGCTAGTTACGTCTTGGCCAACAACCAAAACGCAATTCCAAAAGAACTTGCTGCACACGACAGGGCCCAGCCAGCAGACGGATTTTTCGCTCTAACACTGTCCAATAAACTGAACGTCCCCACAGTACATATTTCATGCCCCACCAGCATTTTTGATTCCCCCGTGGCAGTAAATGCCAAACAAAACTGGCAATCATCATGATGCTTACACACACACACACACACACACACACACACACACACACACACATGCACACTAGCCTCTCTCTACCTGTCTGAGGGAATGGCTGGAAAACTCTCTCTCTCTCTCTCTCTCTCTCTCTCTCTCTCTCTCTCTCTCTCACACACACACACACACACACACACACACACACACACNCACACACACACACACACACACACACACACACACATGAGCACAGACACACATACCAAGTCCTTGGCTGGCTCCAACTATCCAAACAACCTGCAATGAAAGTACAGTCACCAAACAGACAGAGAGTTATTCACAGCTTGGCTAATGTCTCGACTTCTTCTCTGCCGAACAGGCCAGCAAAGTGTCCCATGTTTCAGGAGAAAGATTGGCTGCGTCCGGGCGACCTATAAGGGGGAAGAGACAGCGAGGGGGGAGAAGAAAGGAGACTGCACCAACTACGCACCGCTTTCAAATAAACAACGACTTTCCACGCTGGAACTAATGGTCTCTCAAACACAGTGGGGATATAGACAAAAGAAAATTAAGAGAAGAAGCCCTTTCAATGCTAACCTCGTCAGAGAGGAAATTGGAGAAAGGCAGAAAGAGCACAAGGGAGCACTGCGGAGGACAAGAGAAAGATACCAGCTGCAATACTAAACAACTATAAACAGCCCGGCCAGGAAATAACAACACCTTCAGGTGCTGCTCCCCACCAATAGACGGAGCATCTGTTTTCCAAAAAAAAAAAAAAAAAAAAAAAAAAAAAAGAAGAGAGTACAAGTCTGGAACTGTACTCCACAACCATAGAAATAAGACCGAAAACAACTGACACACTAGTAATACTCTGGCATGCAGAATGTCTCACACATTATTCACACACAAAGTAGTGCTGTTTGCCATCCGCTCTCCCTCCCCCTACCCCCCACCTCTCTCAAGCCACTCTGCCCCCTTGCTTGCTTTACATTCTCTTTTTCTGTAAGAAACGGTTGCCCATTCTCAGTTGATTCGAGATGAACCTAACCATAATGGAGTTGGATAACCTGATTTGTCCAGACATACATCCTCACATCAACTGAGCTCTCAGTTCATTATATGTATGTATGTATATATATATCGTCTCCAAACACCTTCCATCTATGGCTTCCTATCGACAGCCCCCCCATACACACCACCTACCGTCTTCACCGGAATAGAATGCCCGGTCATGATAGCTGTATTTGATGCAACTTTCAGTCCAGATGCAGCAATAATCACCGGGCGTTCTATTCCGGTGAAGACGGTAGCTGGGAGAGAGAGAGAGATGGGCGAACAGATGGACAGACACGCAACCGACCAGGCAGGCGACCGGGCAGGAGGGTGGGTGGGCTGGTGGGTGGGTCAGTGAGCTCGTGTACAGACAGACAGACGGACCAACGAACGGACAAACAGACAGACGGACAGAGAGGCACAGATAGACAGCACGTGGTTGCAGCTCTTCAGCACAAACGCTGACAGGCACAGACTTCAAAATGTGCAAAGGTGCTGAGATGGGTCGCAACATAAGGATCACAACAAGGCAGAGGAATAATATGAACCTTGTCTTCGAAAGCTCGGGGAGGAGGTGGGCCCTTGCCCAGCAGGGTCAAGTCAGCTATAGATGAAACCACGTTCCGACCAGATGTTGACGAGCCGACCGATCCCACATCAACCAGTCAATCCAAGCCAAGAATGAGTCCAAGTGAAGCCAACCCTAAACCCTAAACCTGAGCTCAACCAAGCCACAATGCAAGCCAGCCAAGGTGAGCCTGTCCAAGGCAAGCAGAGTCAAGTCAAAGCAGGCTGCGACTACCTTCTTCCCCCGAATACAACGCACAGTCATTATAGCTGAACTTGGGGTATCTTTCAGTCTAAATTCAGCTATAATGACCGTACGTTGTATTCCGGGGAAGGGAAGACTGTAGCCAAGACCAGGCATGCCCCACGGTACAGCCTACCTTCTTCCCCCGAATACAACGTACGGTCATTATAGCTGTATTTGAGTCATCTTTCAGTCTAGATACAGCTATAATGACCGTACGTTGTATTCGAGGGAAGAAGGTAGACCCAAGAAAAAAATCAGTTTGAAACAAGCCCGACCAGACGAAACCCAGTTGAAACAAGAGAATCCGAAGCTGCCAAACTGGAGCAAACCAAACTACCGTCTGCACCCGAATAGAACGCCCGGTCATTATAGCTGCATTTGGCCCAACTTTCAGTCCAGATGCAGCGATAATGACCGGGCGTTCTATTCGGATGAAGACGGTAGCCCAAGCCAGGCTGGACGGAATGGAGTCAAACACCAGGCCAAGCCAAAGCCTGCAAAACCACCCACACTACACCATCCACAGTCAACAGCCTGCCAAGAGGCCAATACCACGCAAAACCAAACCCCTACATGCAAGACATACTGTAAGAATTAAGGAGAAAAAAAAAAAAAAATTGTGATACAAATATTCTGCATTTCAAATTTGAAAAAAAAACAAACAATATTCAAACGTCGTAGTCAGCAATCACAAGCGCAGAGGAGAACGCATTCTGCATGGCGATCAATAACACGCATATTTTGTCAACCATCTTCCCCCCAATAGAAAATACAGATCATTGTAGCTGCATTTCAGCCGACTTCCAGTCCAGGTACAGCGATAATCACCATACAGAATAGAATGCTCTATTCGGCGGAAGATGGTAGAGGTAGAGCTTGTCATGATGTTAATAAGCTGCTTTCCTCAGAGATTGGACAAAAAGCCGAAAGAAGACAGAAAGTGGGCTACCTAGTCTCCCCACAGATTCTCTCCACGACACCCTCGAGATTTCCGCCAACAAGTCCACAACTACCTCTTGCATCGGCCACACGCCGAGTCCCTGTAATCACTGATAATGCGGGACAGCTGCCTTTGTTAGCAGGACACTTCACATACACTTCTTCTTCAGTCGGTCCAGCCACAGCCACAGCCACAGACCCTGCAGACAGGTTCTGGTAATGAGGGCGGTTTCGAAACGTCGCGCTCCATGCAAAGCGTAGTGCTGAAATTGCAAAAGCTTGTGCTGAAATTGCAAAAAAGGTCGTGGTGAAAAGAAAAAAGAAAAAAAAAGAAAAAAAAAAGGTTGTGGTGAAATTGCAAAAAAGGTTGTGGTGAAATTGCAAAAAACTTGAAAAAAGGTTGTGGTGAAATTGCAAAAAAGGTTGTGGTGAAATTGCAAAAAACTTGAAAAAAGGTTGTGGCGAAATTGCAAAAAAGGTTGTGGTGAAATTGCAAAAAAATTGAAAAAAGGTTGTGGCGAAATTGCAAAAAAGGTTGCGCTGGCTCCAAAGGTAGAGAAGGTGGAGGTGGGAAGTATTACTGTATTTTATTACAGAACTGTTACTGTATTTTATTACAGTATGTTGACCTGGTTGAATCTGGATTTAAACTGGGTCTATATCTTAACAGTTCATGGGTACCCGTGGGTTAGTGGTGGGAGTTAGTATCATGGGTACCCGTATGTTCACCGAAATTCCCTTTAACACGTTCATCGCGCATATGTATTCTGTTCGGAAGAACAGGATGTGGCATCCAGTCACTGAAATTATCTGACAGTCTGGACTCAGATCCCATTAAACCCAAGGTGCGTGTAGCACCTACCGTCTTCCCCCAAACACAACGCACCCTCATTTTGGCTGTATCTGGCCGGAAAGATAGCTTGTATACATTCATTTTGAGGGTGCGTTATGTTCGGGGGAAGACGGTAGCATTTTTACACCCAAGGGGATTTTTACTCTTAATCTGTCAGTCAAAATAGCTACATGTGTGTACCATTCAGCCATGAATGAGACGCGTGCTCTGACAATTCTATCTACCGTGCACTATCCCATACATCTGAATTTCGCCTTTTCTCCCTTATTCAACATAATTGCACAGACACACAACACACAGAGTAGCACTCAGCTTCTGAGCAAATCCTTCAGAGGTACGCTCCCGTTTATAACGACTCCTTTTTTTCTCTTTTTTTCTTTTTTTTTTACGACTCCTTTTTTCGCCCCTATCAGTGGCAGAGACTGAGGATATTGTGTTCGGAGAAGTAGATGCAATAATCTGGCCGCTGCTGCATAATTTCTGCAACGGCTTTTTTTTTTTTTTTTTTAACGACTACTTTTTTCGCCCCTATCAGTGGCAGAGACTGAGGATATTGTGTTCGGAGAAGTAGATGCAATAATGTGGCCGCTGCTGCATAATTTCTGCAACGGCTTTTTTTTTTTTTTTTTTTTTTACGACTCCTTTTTTCGCCCCTATCAGTGGCAGAGACTGAGGATAGTGTTCGGGGAAGCAGAGGCAATAATCTGGCCGCTGCTGCATAATTTCTGCAACGGCTTTGTATGCTTGTTTGTTTTTTTTTCATTCCTCACGTCAATGCGTGCCATGACGCCTTCCTCCACTAAACTAAGTACCGACTTCCCACTACATCTGCCGGCTCACTTTTCTTTATAAAACTGTAATATAAAAAAATTGAAACTACGAGAGAGGCGAGCAGACATGGGTAAGGTTGGGCCTCGGAAAGAGGCTTGGTTGGGCCTCGGAAAAAGAGGCTTGGTTGGGCCTCGGAAAGAGGCTCTCGGGTGGGCCTCGGAAAGAGGCTCTCGAGTGGGCCTCGGTACGAGGCTTGGTTAGGGCCCTTTTATTTTTTTTTAACAATCCACCGGTTCTGGCAAGTTATTCGCTTGCCGGAGCACATCTGCTGCTGGGGCAGTTTGACATTTTCCACATGTGGGAGACCCTCCTGGCCGGCCGGGGTAAAGCGCCTCGATCCATCACTCGCCAAATGTGAACAGAACGAATGTATCTTATCATAATCTAGCGCAATATACACTGGCAGACGTCACATCTGGCGACTGGAGGAACGAGGCCCTAAGCAACAGGACTGGTGTTCCCCCAGAAGAGAAATCGTTCGAATGCAAATGTGTTTTCTTTTCCCTTTTTTTCATTCCAAATCCAAAAAGAAAAGAAAAAGACCCCTCCCCAGCCAGATTTTGGCCCAAACTTTCTCTTTCTTTTAACCTTGACCGCTCCCCCCCCCCCCCCCCTCTTCCCCCCCCGCGCCGCAACATTTCTTGATTTATGCCTGTCATCCTTGCGTTTGCTTGGATGCAGTGTTGGCTTAAACCACCGGTACTTCCTAAAGTCGTGCCCCTTAACAAGCTACGCGATTTTAGTAAACGTACGGGCCACTACAGGAGCGGCCAAATTCATCTGACTAGAAACGTTTCTACTCTATTTTTCTTTTCCACGGCCGATAGCTGGGCCAAGTACTGGTGGTTTAAGAGGCTGCACGTGTGGGGACGCATCGAACGACGGCACTCACTTACCGACCTTTGCAGGCCGATGTAGGGGGCGGGAGAGGCTAATGCTCCTCGCCGCAGCGGCGCCAAACCCGCAATTGATTAATAGAGTGAGTGCGTGGATCGATTGCCGATTGGTAGGCAGGTGAATCGATTAACCACGTCATTGATCGCTTTGGGAGGGTAGCATGCCATGCAAACACGTGTCAGCATTTCATTGCCCGATCGCCGCGTGCGCAAATGTGCCACAGCGGCGCTCGCTCCGAGACGCAAAGGTGCCAACGTAAGGAAACAGAAGGCAAAACGCTGTGGCGCGCAACTTGAAGGCAACTGGAAGGCAAGGTTAAGGAAGGAAGGAAGGTGTGAGGGGAGAGGCAGTGCATTACCGTCAGCCGTGAAAAAACGGATTAGAAGCCACGTCATCCACAAAACGCAAAGTGCAGCCAACACGATGGGCAGGTGGTCCCACAGAAAGGCGTTCGTCGCTACCGGAGCAGCCATAGCCGCCGCCATCTCCAAGCACCGGCTAGAGCACGGTTCTTCCATAGACGTTACCTGACGCATACTGTCATCTTCCATGTTCAGCAACAAGCTTTTCCCTCTCCTCCCTCTTCCCCAGCTCGCCCTCCTCTTCCCGCTCCACGAACACAGCGGGTTGCTCCTCCTCTCACTAAGGTCTGTTCCTACCACCCCGGGCCTTGTTGCAGATCCCGACACCCCGATTAGACGATAAGACGACGAGCAGGAAGATACCCCCCCTTCCAACACCAAGTCCAGGAGGCGGAGAGCGGGGCGTGTTGCAGATCCCGACACAGACAGCGGTTCTCCTCTTCTTTCGCAATGCTCAACCCCGTGATCAGCGCAGTGATACTTACAGCGCAAGGTGGAGACTTGTCCAAGAGAGTAAAGGTAAGGACGACGGACGAGATGACCTGTCCGCTCGCTAAGTCCTGAAGTCACTGCCGCGATCTGCCGATGACTGCTGCTACCGCCACAGCCAGTCCGCTGCCAAGGCTGGAGAGTGATGTAGGGAAAACTCACCCTTCCGAAAACGTTTTCGCCGGGCGCTATGGCGACAACGGACAGTTGCCAGTCACTCGCTCCCCTACACCAAGTCGCGCTCCGGCGGCGCTTTCCCCCCTCTCTTCGTCGCTCGTCTTGGGCTCTAGACCCTCCTCTTCCCTCCTTTCCCCCTCCTGACCACCTTCCACCTCCTCTCCTCTCTCCACAAAAGGGAAGAATGACCGATGAGAAGGTTGTGGTAGCCGAATTGCTGCGACCTGCTTCAGAAGATGCGCAGTACGCCGCTCTCCAAGGGAACTTTCCGGAGTCGGCGATCACACGCACGCGGGAAGATATGGGGAATTCTTTTTGTGAATTTTTTGTTGTTGTTCTTCCTGCCGTTGCCGAAGAACAATACTCCCGCGTTAACGATGTCGCCAGCCCTTGCCGGCGTCCGCTCGCCCATAGACATAACCTACCCCCGCCGCTGGAAAGCCAAGCAACAACCGTGCCCGTCGACGTTTCATGGTAGCAGGCGGCGTAGTCAGTTTGCGGACGACAAGAATTCCTCCCACAACCACAATATGCGGAGGAATTCAAGCACATCGCCATACCACTTAACCATTACCACTCCCCGCGCCTTTTTATTCCGACCTCAAGGGGCCGATCCAATGCGGCAGTGTCTTCGGCGGGGCTCTACTTACGAAAGTGCCGCTGTGTTCCCTCCGGCGGGGGTCTCGGCCCACAGCTCCATCTACTTTTCTACAACAGTGTGACGCGAGAAGGCGGGAAACGCACGTTGAATCATCCTCGTATTTGGTTTCACTCATCTAGGGCCTCGTTCCACACCACTTCACTTGAAACTCCAGTGTGCACTCGAGTTGCAAAAGTGATTAAAAAATACCCGAGCCCGTTGGTCTCGGCCCACGGCCCACATGCGCCGTGCAGTTCAGTTTTCTACAACTGTGTGACGCCAAAAGGCGGGAAAAGAACATTAAATAATCTTCTTGTTTTTCATTCAGCTAGTGCCATTAGGAATCGAACTGAGGTCTTCCTTTCAACAGTTCATGGGCGTGCCACATCCTATTCCTTTTATTGGTCCTTGGGGCCCTAGATATGTCTCTGACAAACAAAACCTGGCCTTACCTTCCCCTTGCGTTCACTGAAGAGGAAAATCCCCCTGTAGTTTACTATCTGAAAAGATACTCATAGAAAACTACAACGCCCGTGCCTCTCCTGCCATCCCCAACCTGACCCCAACATGACACCCCAGCCAATCACAAAACAGTAGGCTGCTGGCTCCCCTTCCAAAAAGGCGGGTTGTGTAATCCTACCGTTTGTCAGATGATCAACGGTTTGCACTGATCCCACAGTCGCAGAGGTAGCAGAAAACTATACTACACCGCTGCATGTGGGCTGAGACCCCGTTTCGTTCCACTCAACCCTAGAGTCCGCCCTTGAAATGAGCGGGAACAGCTCGTGAGAGGTTCAACCCGGACAATCTGGGGCCTCGGCCCACTACACAGCGTCGCGTTAAGCTGCGACAGCTTTGCGACGACGACGAGTCGTGGATTGTAAAAACATCCAGCGGTCGTTAGTCCAGCGCGCGGAGATGGCAGCTTTCCCGCCCAAACGGGAGGTGTTTATTGGCAAAAAGCATGTCGGCGCAGCACACGGCGAGGCGCGGGACGTTTAGTTTACTATTGTCAAAAAAGTGTCATAGCTAACTAAAGGCCCTAATTCCTCATCGGTCGTCTGTTGGCGGGCAGAATAGGCCTTCGCATGGGCAACAGATGTGTGAAGCAGGCGGAGCAGGCCTAACGCGAATCGGCTACTCCCATGTGTGAAGCACTCACTTCCGGTAACACGTGAAGAAGGCAGGGGCATTTACGCAACTCAACAGATGTAGCAATTCGAAGACCCATCATGGTGGTTGATGGCCCTCCTGCTGTGCCGATCGGACGATGTCAAAAGTGTCCCAGTCAGTGGTGTGTACGAAAAAAAAAGTGGACCCGCGCAGACAAGATTTTCCCGCCTGCCGTGGTGTCGCTCAATATCATTTTCTGCTACTAAACCTTGCATGTGGGCCGAGGCCCCTGCATAGAAAAAGGAGAATAAAGGGAGAAAAAAAAACGATCGGGCGGTTCTACACTTACCTGCAGCACCGTTTTCAAGTGCAGCTCAAGCGTGCCCAGAGAGGTGACTTGAAAAATGGGTAGGTTTGTTTGGGCCGCACTTGAGCAACCCTTGAGCTTCCCCGCCCGTTCACTAAACCCGAAAGCCTAATCACAGTGTCGAGCGCATCGGTCCTGTTGGGAGACCCTCCCGCCCGCGTCACGCAGAATTTGTGGCGGGACTTTCATCCTCTTATCGCAGTGCAATGGAGCTTTCGTCGCCGATCCGACCGAGTGCGCCAGCCATACCACTCCACTTTAGAAATACTTGAGAAATTCACCGTTCCACATTGCACTGCATTTGACTTTCACTTTCCCTAATGGTGATTAGGCTTCCCGCCTTTCCCGACGCCCGCCAAAAACGTCAAGTGCAGCTCAAGTGCGGCCCAGGCGAATCGGTGAATTTTTCAAGTCACCTCTCCGCCCACACTTGAGCCGCACTTCAAAACGGCACAAGTGAGAGTCAGGAGGCGGTTGCAGGTGTTGTACGCCCCCCCCCCTGGGTGTTTTGTCTTTTTGTTTTTTTTGCGATGGTGTAGTCGACGTCCAAGAATGGACCTAAGCGGTGAACCACGGCAACTAGCCGTTAGGTATGGTACAGCAGGGCGTGGCCAAAGCATTGCGCCTGCGCAGCCTACCCGATGCACCACGTGGCCAACCAGGTAGCCGTTGGGTTGGGCTGCCGCGCGGCGTAGAGCGTAGCTGTTGTGGCTGCTGTCGCGCGGCCTGTGGGCACGCACGCTCACCAGCCGGCAGCAGGCACGTCCTCGATGTCAGGCACTGCGCCTGCGCAGCCTACCCGATGCACCGCGGGGCCAGCCAGGTAGCCGTTAGGTTGGGCTGTCGCGCGGCGTAGAGCGTAGATGTTGTGGCTGTTGCCGCGCAGTCTGTGGGCATGCACACTCACCAACCGGCAGCAGACACGTCCTCGACGTCAAGCACTCCCTCTGCCGCAAGTCCCCCTGCAGGCCGCTTGTAGTAAGCACGATACCCGTTGTGGACAGCATCAGTCGAGCAGACGGTGTTGCTTTCATGGTGGGCACGACGCGCACGGCGGTGTTGTTGGTTGTGTTGTCGCTTGTGCTGTTGGTCGTCGTCTTGCTTCGTTTCGTGGAGTTCCTGGGCAGGGTTGGAGGGCGTCGATTAAAGCCTGCACTTAGGAGGAGTATTACTAACAGCAAGGCAGCTAAGGCAGGGGGGAAAAAAGTGAAGATGGTGAGGTTAACCCCTGCTGCTTCTGATGCAGGATATGGGTGGAACGTGCGAACGGGCCAGCGGGCATTTAACCCAACTGCCTTTGCACATCTGCCACCGCATTCGCAGCCACTCCTGGATGACGACATAGCAGATCTATCAAAGCAGGGGGATGGGCTGGATACGGATATAGGGCTCCATCTGTCGACATCTGCTTTCAAGCCCACGAGGTGCTTCACTTCCTTATCCATTGGTGAGCGAGGTCTGCGCAGAAGCTCACCCCGGTGCATTCCACGTCATCTAGCGACCGAGGGGTTGCTTTGCAGGGAGGAGGGGTGTGCATCCTGGTAAGGAGCACTGCTTCCAGGTCGTTGGTTCAGTGTTAGACTTAGAACAAACCCCCGCAATGGATACACCTCCAGCAGAGTTCGTGAACGAAGAGGAGGTGCCAGACATGGAAGAGGGGAGGGGGGTGATATGCCCTTCGACGAGGAGGATGATAACAATCCACCTCAAAGCCCTCCGCCAATGCCACAGCAATCCACTCCGTGTCAGAAAGGGAAAGGGAAAATTGTCGACGATGTTATAAAGGCAGACGACGCCCGATAATTTTGGGATGTGCGGGATTCGCTTGTGCTCATCCACTGTAAGCGTGATCAGGAGCAATACCTGACAGGCTTACCGCACAAATTTGGCAGGATGAAGAATAATGACTCGAAATGGCAGGATACTGAACAGCGTGTAATGGCACAAGGGGTGAAACCCACGCTAAACCAATGCTGCAAACGCTGGGATAATACGTTATCGTGGTACAAAGCCATTGTGGACAAACAGGGTCGGTCGGGTATGCCAATATTCTGGTAGATGTCGGGAAAGGAAAGGCGGGCGACAAGGTTCAGAGTCTTCCTGGATCGCGATGTCGGGGCAAATACCCTGACAAGGGTATTTGCCACTTGATGAGATTGACGTTTGCCATAAGGTTATTCAGACTAGCCTATAGTCGAGAGACCGAGACTTTTTGAACTATAGTTCTCACGCTTGCGTCGTCCGAATATAATGGCAGTAGTCGCTAGTTTCTGTTGAGGCCGCAGAGGCACGCAAGCGCGAAAACGCTAAGGCTAGACCTATCCTTGCAGCCATGCGATTCAGAGCCTACGAGGCTAATGGGGACCGCCGTACGGGGAGGGGTTAAAACCACAACGGTGGTCGTGAGACCGAGCAGCCTGCTTTGCTAAGGGCCGCCGTGGTTGATACTCGCGGCCAACCGATGGGATAAAACGAGTAAGCAAGACCGACAAAGCCTCAAGCATATGAGGCAGCATGACCACAAGTATGCAGGGCCTGCAAGGCCACGACAAAGGGGAATAGTGACTGGGCAAACTCTTTTTATGGAAGAGTTACTCCTATCACTATTGTGATAGGAGTTAGCCCAGTAGGTTACTGTACTCGAATCTTACCCGACGGGTACTGGGATCAAATTCAGCAAGTTGCTTCATTGGGCTAACTCTTTTTGAAGCTGGTCGTCGTAAGGAACCCGGCGCGGCCGATCCCCGCCGTGCAATCAAGGGATCACACGGCCGAGATCAGCCGCACGGGGTTGTATGGCCACTGCGTTAGGATGACACACGTAAATCGTATAATAATAATAATAATAATAATAATAATTTTTTTTTTTTTTTTTTTTTTTTTGAATCCGTTAGGATTCGAACTCAGGCCTGTGTTTTAAAGGGCGTGGTTGAAAAGCCACGTGATGGTGAACGTTGACATAAAGCCAACGAAGGGAAAATATATATGTATATATATATATAACTAGAACTAAAGCATCATGTGGCACGTTAAGAAGTAACGGGGACTTATAGTTCCCACGAATAGTGCAGGTGCCCGTGAAAACGGGCGACCAAGCGGCGAGGTAAGGGTTTTTGTTTTTTTTGTTTTTTTTCTTTCGTTTTC